TTTTTTTTTTTTTTTTTTTGAAATTCTCTATTCTCGACATACAAACGTCGCATATTATTCGCCGAGTTGGTGCATAATAAAATTTTTGAAATTTTGAAACCGCTGACAGTTGGAATAATAGAACGTACGGTCGATTTCGAGGCATCTTTTCCGCTTTTCGAAACGTCTTTCCTCCGTCTACATAAAGCGTGTAATCTTCAATCCTTATCTCATGCCCCTTCTCTTTCTTCCCCTCCGGCCCCCAAAACTCTTTTAATGGCTTCCGTTTTTTCCCTTCTCTTGTATATGAGAAGCAGGTTGCAGGAGATAAACCAGAATTACAAAAATTATTTGGATCGACCCTTGAGGCAATTCTTTACGATTACTGTGTCTGAGCTGAGAACTCCTAACCTTTCGAATTCGTTTGATGAAAAAATTCAACTACCGGAAATTCCGCTATCTAACTTTATTAACGTGGCCCCGGAGGAAACATATGCCGAGACAGCGACGATGATGAAGATCAAACCTCCGGGCCAGGTATTGTCGGATCAACTGTGAGAAGGTTGAAGGTCGGAACGGCGCGCGTCGGCGGCCGGGGCGTAACGACCCGGCACTCTGTCATATGCAATGTTGGCCTCAACCTCTCTAGGTTGTGGTCGGCCAGGTTTTCATGACAGAGGAAGGTGTTTGGTCGACGGGGATCTCTTCCCCGAACCCGTCTGCGCCCATCACTTGAGAGCGTGGTGGGAGGGGCCAAGCTCTTGCTGGAGTTTTACCTGGAACTCCACAAACAAGCTCGGCCCACGGCTCCTCTTCTTTGACTGCTCTGCTGCTCTTCGGCTGGGGTTGAAGCGACTGTAAAAGCAGTAGTGTAGGGATTTCTATACAATCTTTTATTCTGCGAAATTCGGCTGGGGTTGAAGCGACTGTAAAAGCAGTAGTGTAGGGATTTCTGTTCGATCTTTTATTCTGCGAAATACATTCTTCGCATATTATTCGTCTAGTTGGTGCATAATAAGTTTTTTTTTTTGTTCATAATTTATTTTTGGAAAATTCAAACCGGTTAGGCTAATGAACCTGCGACAATTAGTCGAAAATATTCCGCACAACAAACGCATATCACCTGTACTAAAATCGTAGAATATATATATATTTTTTTAAAAAAATTTGTTTTTGCAAATTTTCTATTCTGCGAAATACAAACGTCGCGTATTATTCGCCTAGTTGGTGCATAATAAGGTTTTTTTTAGAATTTAATGTTTTGAAAATTTAAAACAGTTTAGGCTAATGAACCTGCGACACTTAGTCGAAAATATTCCGCACAACAAACGCATATCACCCGTACATATGTATTTTTTTTAAATTTGTTTTTGCAAATTTTCTATTCTGCGAAATACAAACGTCGCGTATTATTCGCCTAGTTGGTGCATAATAATTTTTTTTTTTTTAGAATTTAATGTTTTGAAAATTCAAAACAGTTTAGGCTAATGAACCTGGGACACTTAGTCGAAAATATTCCGCACAACAAACGCATATCACCCGTACATATATATTTTTTTTAAATTTGTTTTTGCAAATTTTCTATTCTGCGAAATATAAACGTCGCGTATTATTCGCCTAGTTGGTGCATAATAAGGTATTTTTTTTAGAATTTAATGTTTTGAAAATTCAAAACAGTTTAGGCTAATGAACCTGCGACAATTAGTCGAAACAATTTCGCATACAAACTGCACAACATTCGTAGTATAATCGAAGGAAGACTTCGAGGAAAGCTTCATTT